ATGCTAGAAATTGTGCAATTAAGGCTTATCAAGTTATTAATCCAGGGAACGAATGAACCAGGGTCCACAGAAGTGCAGGCTGTGCAGCGGTGCTGCCGATACAGCGCAGCAGAGCTCCAGAGAAGAGAAGGATGAGCAGTGAGCACTATATATGAAAGAGCAGATCCAGGGAGGCAACCGTAACGGCAGTCTTAGCTACCGTTAGTAAAGTTGGTTGTAAGTCATTTTGACTGTGAACTAACGAGCTATTTTAGATCGTGTATAAATATAAGATGGCAAAAATTGAAAATAATAATTCCAAATTTCCGATTATTGTCGGGCTACTAACAATAATCTCAACTATTGATTATTTTTTTTACAATTCTAACTATATAGACCGTCCATCAATAATGATTCATAACTGGTTATTACATGCTATAACATGTCAAATTTAAATAGAAACTACGCGTATTTTATAAATAATCTGAACTATGCTCGTTCTTCTTTTAATAATCTCAACTATCAACTAAATTTTTTCCAAAATGTAGAGAACTTAATTTTAAAACATAACATGCTAGAAATTGTGCAATTAAGACTTATCGAGTTATTAATCCAGGGAATTTTTCGATCACTTTCTCTTGTAGTTGGGGCTCTTGATCTTTGGTAAAGCCAACCAAATATTAGCATTATGAAACACTTGAAGTTTGACATCTTGAGTTTAAAATCATTAATATTATGTCATGAAATATGCAATAAGTAATGTGAACCTTTCAGGGGAACTCAGCCTGAATATTATGATAACATAATTTCTCCATTGCAGATCCCCTAGGCACTTGGATTTTAACCAATATTGAAGTATTAAACGTACTAACAGTGTGTTGTTGACATGTTCTCACTTGGTGTCAATGTATAACTGATACATAGAAAGAGTAACATTAGTATTATAGGCATTCCATTTTAGTATCAAGTATAAGTACGGATGACAACGGGGCGGATCGAGGACAGTTTTACATATAACCGTACCCGTCCCGTTGGGTAATTCCTCCATCCCGTAACCGCCCTGTTCGGTGTGGATATCCATCGGTTCGGTCACAATTGTCATCCCTAAGTATAAGTAATATTTATACATATCAAATTATCAAGTATAACATAATTAATTAATCTTATCATTCTACCGTTTAATTTTGAGAACAGTAACTTGAGAAAGACAAAACTGAAGACAACAACCACACACTTATCTTTTACAAACATTATCCACGACAATTTTTAATCAGGCATTAAACACAACTGAAGAAAGACCTGCCCCAAATATATGGTAAGGGGTTGGAGTCTTACCCGGAGAACATTGGCTGGGCGTGAAAGATAAGCTCTCAAAAGTGAGGCGAGCAGATTTATAAAGGACACAGGGGGTATTGAATTTGAGAGAGCCTTTTGAGATGTCATGCGCTGGGCTTCACCGGAATTGGAAAGACCCCCCTTCAATTTCAAAATCAATGAGAGCTTCAAATGGAATAATCGATTATCATTAAATTAAAATAAAATAAAAATGAATATAACTAACACAAGTGAGTAGCGCCGCGCTTCTCTCTGACCGGAAGAAATGCAATCCTCAGTGCGAGCCAATCTACTGTGTTCGATCACTTCGATGCGCTGGAAAAAAGTGATTCGCGGAGATAGGTTGAGCGGGGAGGTAGACTGTGTTAACGGGACGGAAGGAGCCAGACGTCATGACAAAATAAAGAAGAAAACATTTATGTACAATTACTTAAGCCTTTAGAACAACTGCACAAAGCTTTAATGTCACCACCAACAAATTTTGTTTACCCAAAGTAACCTAACCTTTATTCGTGCTTATAATTGTGTAGAGATAGAGATATCATTTACTCCGTATGTCTCAATTACTTTTCTTTTTCATATTTAACTTTTGTATTTTCAATAATCTTTATTTATTTCACTTTTAGACTATTTTCTATAGATTAGAACTCGGCAGACGTAAAAGGCATATCCCCTAATCTCTCGCTCTGGCCTCTACGAAGCATCGATGACATTTCCCTCGTCGGAAATCGGAATCCACTCTGAGCAAGGGACAAATTTTCTACGGAATTAGGGATTTAAATTCCTCTTCATTGTCGTTGGAGGCAATCGGACAACCAATCTTCTTAAAACGGTTCCAATCGAAGATTTTAGTTCACAGATCGTGACATACTTTCCAGAATCGATCGATCCCGGTTTCGATTGCACACTCTAGGTGGCTCTGGAATACATGGGAGACAGATGCAGTTTGTCGGTTAGCTTAGGGAATGAAATCTTGTCTTCTTCGACCGGCACTGAAAGTAGTGTGGTGCAAATTTTTCTGAGAAGTGTCGCGAGTCCTCCTCTTCATTCTTCTTCTTTTAATTTCAGATAAGCGATTCAATTCTTATATGTTTTTTGCTTCTTAGTTGAAGAAACCGTTAAAAACTCATCACCGATTACTAGTATTATTTGTGCCTTCCATGAGAAATAGAAGACAAAAGTCTTCCATCCCCTGTAGCTGCACTTTTTCTTAATTAAAAGGATATAATTTTGTTGACTAAAGCAAAATAAAAATTGTAAATGAATTTGAGTTGCTTGCATTCAAATTGAATTTTTTATTGTAGTTGGAATTGAATGATTTTTCATTCCTTTTAAAACTTGCTTCCATGTCGTTAGAAACTCATCTTTCTATTCATCTAATTACAACTCAAACTATGGAATAACAACAAACTACTATTATCATCTGCAAAGACTGCATTTGTGCACAACTCAAACTATGCTGGTGAAGGAAGTGGTGAGGAATGAGGCTTACAATGAGGGTGCTTTACATATGGAGAAAGTGGTTTTGAGGTTGAAGTAGGTGCTTCTACTTTAAGGACTGAATTTAACAATAGAATCAGGTATAATGATGTCATTGAATTGCGTCTTTAAATCTAGTTCATTTGCTTGTGGAAGTTACTATTCCTCTACAGAAAGCCTGGTGTGAGCCTTGCTAGTACTTACTAGTGTATGTTGGTAGAAGTGCTTTCCCTATAGCTGCAACTTTTTAACTTTTATTTTATTGATCTTTTGTTTATTCTTCATATTAAATGTTTCCTGGTTGGTTAGCTTCAGTGTAAAAAGATTTTATATATTTAATGATTCTTTGGTTAGCTTCAGTGCAATTATATTTATATAATTGTAGGTAATGGAGAAATCAAGTTTTGGTCAGGTAATTCCTCTTATGTTATGTCTCTATTCTTCTAACTTTCCAAGACCTCTATTATGACTTTGAAAATATTTAAGATACGCATGAGTTATTCTAGTATAAGAAATTGTTGAGGTCGGGAAGAAGGTTATTTTCTTTGATGTGAGTGCCTATGAGGTGAACTTGGGAACAGATGAAAAACATGTGTTCAAGCTTCATGTAGTTTTTTAGCTTTGCTACTTTGACATCAAGATTCAAAGATGCTGGAGTTTTAATATAATATGCCTTTCTAGTTCTGTATACATACATAGTTTTTTTTTTTTGAGCAAATTTTTCTATTGTATATACATAAATAAACATTCTTTACAAATAAAACTGAATGAATAGATTTCAAAGAAGTTCATACATCAGTTAACAAAGGTACTAAAAGTGGAGTACCTAACAATCCATGAGGTTTCTTATCTTTTGAGTCTTTTCCATCATAAGATTTACAATCACCTTGATAAGCTTTTATATATTGCAGAGCTATGCATCCCAGTCCTGAGTTGATGTATAGGGAAGTTTATTTCTTCGCAATCCCATTCTTGTTGAGTGCATATACCAGCTCATCAGAAGGGATGTCTGTCACTCTAGTAACTGCATTCACATTTTGAACATTAACAAGCCCAGGTGAAGAAAACAATATAGAGAAGAAAGCATTGGACTGGGGCCATGTCGAAGCTTCTTAGAAAGCCACTGATCAAGATGTCAACTGTCAATCATCTATCTTTAATAATAGCATATATTTATTGTGATACTACTCCGTATTATATAGCTGTAGTATTATTTTTGTTGTTTTTTGTTGTATCGCATGTGTTGCATTTTGTTGCATCGTGTTGCATTTTGTTTCATCTTTTTATTTTTTGTTGCAACATGTTTCTTATTACTGAGTACTCGACATTATTTACAATTGATTCAAATTTTTGTTGTTTATTTAGATTTCTATTTGTTTTTCTTCAACCTTAACATAGAAATATCTATATAGATTAAGATGCAAACACCGAAAATGATAAATTCTGATTTGTGAATATGAAAGACAACTAGAAACAATAAAAAACAAAAAATTTAGAATTGTCAACAAAAAGAAACACAAAGAAACCATATGCAAAAAAAAAACGATAAATAAAATGATAATAAAAATAATTACAGATTTATCTACTTATGATACATTACATTTAAAACTTGTATATTTTTAATTCTTTTCAATTTTTATTTTATACGGAGTATAATATATTTTACAAACAAAAATATAATGTCTTATATACGCAGTATAATTTATTATTATATAAAATATAATATAAAATTTCGTCACTTTTTTAAATTTATATATTTATTTAATTTTTATTTTTTAATTTGAATATTTTTTTAAAATTCCAAAACTTTATTTTTCTTGTTTGCATAGTCTTCCTAATTTCCAGCTTTTTATGATTTTTCATTTTTTATAATTAAACATTTCACTTTTGTAATAATTTATAACATATTACATTCAGAACAACTGTTTTTATTCTTCTCGTTATTTCTTGTGAATTTTTAGTTTTCAATTTGAGTAAAACATATAGTGCGTGACTCAACATTAGTTAGGGAATTAGGGAATGAGGTCCTGTGTTTTTATTGTTGAAAAGAAGTGTGACCTTAGTACTCCGTATTAACTACGTAGTATTACGGAGTGAGTAGGAGCCGTGATACGCTTAAGGTCTGTTTTTGAAAAGGAAACTTCAATTGTCTTATATTTGAAAAAATTTCCGAAAATGAAAAAAACTGATATTACTTTCAAGGGAAAACTGTCAAATAGGTCCTCGAACTTTCATAAAAAAGTCAATTAAGTCCTTCTATAGGAGATTTTGTCCGGCCGCCGCGATTAAGTGCGGTTCCCGGTGGAATTTTTTGATGAAATTTTTTGAGCATCTTATTCATCAAGTCTAGATTACTCATACCAAATTTCAGCTAAAAATTCGATCGGGAACACATTCAAAACATTTTTCAGAGATCTAAATGGATAATTCTGAAGAAATAATAGATAAGTTAATACATTAACATAAGCCCATATAGGTCCTTTGTTCACAGCCTTCCAATTAGTATATATAAGAGGACACAAATCTGCACTTCTTGTTATTGTTCCCAAAAAACTGCTCAGTTCAGATAGAGTCTTTTCATCAGGACCAATAGGTTGCCCTTCTGCATTTAGAATGATTTCCTTTCTATCTTCAAGGCTTCGTGCATGAATTTTTAGACATAGTGTCTTTCCTCGTTTTCTTATTGAGGTTGCACCTAGTTAATTAGAAAATATGAATTGTATTTCATTACGTGAGATAGAAAACAAAGACCAAGTAAAGGAAATATAAAAAAAAAAACAAATAATGTCAATTTTATTTACCCGTATGACCATTTTCTTCCATACCCTCATTGCTTTCATGGTTAATGTCTCTTTCAACTTCCACATCCATGTCATTTTCTTCCTCATATTCAGATCCGATTTCATCTATCTCATGTTGTTTCTTATTCACACTGATGAACTCATCAAGTGACATCACAGAAAATTTTGGATTCAGTTTCTTCTTCTTAAAGAATTGTTCTTCTGGTATTTCTTGAACTTCATGTGTCATTGATGTCCTTAGTTGTCGCTTAGGATTATTGTTACGGCAGAATTCTTTGTTGTTATCGTGAAGCTTTTGAATTGGTTCAATTGGCCCCTGATTGTAGATTTCCCAGGTTTCTTTACACAAGGAACTTGAATATGACCCAATTTCTTAGCTGCAACTCTAGTGTTCAAGAATTGTTTATTTTGATCATGCTTTTTCTTTTGTATTGGGATTGTTCCTAAGTGAGAGCTCCCCTGATCAATCTCCTTTTGCACTGACTTTTGAATACTTCCACAATTTAGACTCATACCTTGCTCACTTGGATTTGAATCACCTCTAGTGTTGTTTATAATCTGGAAGTAAAACATTACAGACAAGCAATGATGAATCATTCTGAAGATCAAGAAATGGGACACTAAAACTAGTTTATATTTCTTCACCTGAGGTTTTGCTCGGTTAACATTAAAACCTTTGTTTATTTTTTGTTCTGATGCACTTCTCTTGCTTTGTCTTGCAGCTGTAACATTTTCTCCTTGTTGAGTTACATTTGAAACACCCCCTTTATTTTTGATAACCTACAAGAAGAAAGATACCCAAAAATTAATGAAATTTCACTCTTAAAATCAAGAAATTGCAAGACATAGATTACTTAGATTTCACCTGAGCATTTGCTTTATTAAACATTAAATTTTTCTGCACTTGTTTACTAGCAGCATTTCCCTTTCTTTCTCTGGAAGCAGTAATGCTTTCTGCCTTAAGTTTATACTTTCGAAGTAGATCAGCACTGGTATCAACTTGAGAACCAAGATGAAATCCAGTCTCTTGGTTCATTTTCCTGCAACTGTTAATGCTGGACAAATGCAATTTTTATTTTTTTTACAAGGGCATTCATCATTACATTTACATAAGAGATAAATGTAACCAACACTACTTCATATACAATAAAATAAAATTTACCATATTAAATATAAGAAGTAAGAAAATATGTGACCACAGAAAATATAGCCACACAAGATTATAAAATAAGTCTTTTAAAGAAACTGTTCCAACTGTGAGTACGATGACACTCTAAAAAGCTAGTCCAAAAGAGATTCATCTAAATCAGAGTCATTTTCAGATTCTGTTGCATTCAATAAATGCAAAGAATTTTCAACAACTGTCGGTTGCATGTCTGTCCTAACCAACTCGAATTCAATGTTGTCATCACTTGTAGCTAGGTTTACTGGATGATCTGATGGTTCACTTTGATAAAACTGTTGAGAGTTTGAATCTGATGGTTCTTTGATATTAAGAAAATCCCTTGAGATGGTCTTCATGACGTAATTCCTATTTGCATTAAAAGGGTCTTGAATGTAGAAGCATTGATGCACTTGAGAAGCGAGCACAAACGGATCATCCAGAAAACATCTCTTGTTGAAATGAACACAAATCAAGCCATACTTATCCTCTTCAACTTCAAACCAATCACATCGAAATAACACAGCCTTAAAATGCCCATAGTAATCTACTTCAATTATTTCTATAATTGATCCATAGCAGGTAAGCGAGTCTGTTATTGGATTTCTATCTTTAGTACTTGCAAAGCTTTCAGCAATTGACACCAATGTCACACCGCTATTTTGGGTTTTACGCCGTGCATCACGTTGCTTTGTATGAAATCTAAATCCATTAATAAGATAGCCAAAAAAACGACATGCAACTGTATTTGGTCCTCTAGATAACTCCTTCATTTGTTCAGATACATCGCTTAATAGAACACGTTTTTTGAACCATTCAACGAACTCTTTCCCTTGAGTCTTTGATTTGTTCCATTTTTTTCTTTTATGTTTTGAGTATTCATTTTCATGCTCCCTGCAATCAAAATAAAAAGTTGAAATAATTAACAGATTAGTATTTATGCACTCAAAGCCTACAAAAAGATTAATTCACCTGATAAATTTCTGGACTTCGTCGCAATTGAATAAAATGTAGCGGTGAATTTGACTCCTTGACTTGCTATCCAAATAAATAGCTTTGTCGTTTCTCTTTGTTCCAATAGGCTGACCAATGCTGGAAAAGATGCTTGGATTTCCAATCTCATTGGGCTCACATCTATCACCATTCCTTTTAATTCTGTTAAGTCGTGTCTCGACACTACCGTGCAAATATTGGGAGCATAATGTCAAGCATTCTTTAACCAAGTATCCCTCAGCAATAGAACCTTCTGGACGACTTTTATTACGAACATAGCTTTTTAGTCTACCTAAATATCTTTCTGGGAAATACATCCACCGAAATGGAACTGGACCACCCAATTTTATCTCATTCACTAAATGTATAGGCAAATGAACCATAACATCAAAGAAACTTGGGGGAAAAATTGTTTCAAATTGACAAAGTGTTTCTGCAATCTCTGATTGCAGAATATCCAAATCATTCACGTCAATAACTTTCTGACATAAACACCGAAAAAAAGTAGATAGACGAATTAAAGGGTGGGCAACTTGATTTGGCATGGTACTCCTCACAGCTACTTGAAGCAAGTAATGCATCATAAAATGTGCATCATGAGTCTTGTAACCAGTAACCTTTTTGTCATCAAGTTGAACACATCTTGAAATATTAGAAGCACAACCATCGGGTATTTTGGCTCCCTTTAAGACTCCACAAAATATTGTTTTCTCATCAGCAGTCATAGAAAAACATGCAGGTGCAAGCTTGAGACTTTTACCTTCATCTGTCTCTTCTGGTTGAAGCTTCTTTCTAATACCCATGTGTTTTAAATCAAAACGAGCCCTTGCATGATCTTTTGTCTTTTTTGGGATATCTAACAAAGTCCCAATTATATTATCAAATACATTTTTCTCTATATGCATCACGTCAAGATTATGACGTAATGTGTTGTGCTTCCAGTATGATAGCTCATAAAAAATAGATCTCCTCTTCCATGGATCATTAGGATGATTCTTTTTCTTTCACTTCTTTTTTGTCTTGCCAAATACATTTTTGAAGTTTTTTAAGGATTCAAAGATCTCTTCTCCTTTCAACAAAGCTGGTGGAGATCTAAATTCTGTCCTCCCATTAAAGTCCCTTACATTTGATCTATATTTATGATCCATAGGCAAAAACACACGATGATCCATGTAGCACATCTTTCGGCTATACTTCAGATAAGTAGAGTTTGTGTTATAATTACAACAAGGACAAGCTAATTTTCCTTTTGTACTCCACCCACTCAACATAGCATATCCTGGAAAGTCACTGATAGTCCATAGGAGAGCTGCCCTCAATTAGAAAGTTTGATTTAGAGAAGCATCATACGTTTCTACTCCGAAATCCCACAACACCTTCAATTCTTCAATTAACGGCTGGAGGTACACATCAATATTATATCCAGGTGATTGTGGTCCGGGAATTAATAATGAGAGAATGGCATGATCAGCTTGCATGCACCACCAAGGAGGAAAGTTATATGGTAGTAATACCACTGGCCATATACTATGAGATAGACTCATGGTTCGAAATGGATTAAATCCATCACTAGCTAAACCAAGTCGGATGTTACGTGAATCCATTGAAAACTCTGGATAGCGTTTATCAAAATCTCTCCATGCCTCCCCATCAGCAGGATGTCTCAATTTACCATCTTTCACACGTTCTTCTTCATGCCACCTTAATGAAGTAGCTGTCTTTGAACACATAAACAGCCGCTGCAGTCTAGGAATCAATGGAAAGTGTCTCAAAATTTTAGCTGAAACTTTGTGAGCCTTAGTATTTTCCTCAAAATTGACTTCTGTAGTTTCAATCCACCGTAGAGCGCCACATACATAGCAGCATGTGTCTTTCTCGTGTTCTTTCCAGTAGAGCATGCAATCATTCGGACAAGCATCAATTTTTTTATAATCAAAGCCCAAGTCTCTTATCATTCCTTTAGTTTTAGCTACTGTATCAGGAATATTCAATTGAGGCATAGCTTCTTTCAGTAACTCTAAAAGAGCGTTGAATGATACATTGCTCCAACTGTAAAGACACTTCAACAAGTACAGTCTAATCGTGAATGATAGCTTAGTGAAGTTTTGACATCCCGGAAACAACTCTTGCTTGGAATCTTCTATAAGACTATAGAACTTTTTAGCATCACCATTGAGGTTGTCGTTATCTTCATATTGTTCTTCTGCCACGCCCCTAAATCTATCATTCAGTAGTCCATCAATATCATCTATTTCATCATCTTCACCATCCAAATAGCCGTCAATGTTCTTGGGGTTTATTGGCTCCTCGCCATGACGAACCCAAACATTATAACCTCTTTCAAATCCGTATGCTATTAAATGATCAAAAACGGTTGCTCTTGTCATCCATAAAGCATTATGACATTTAATACATGGACACAAAATCTCTTTTCCTTGGGGATTTCCTCTCGCATATGCATAATTTAGAAAATACTCCACACCGTTAATGTATTCTGGACTGTATCTCGCAGATTTCATCCATTCCTTGTCCATCTAGTGTACTAGAAAAATCATCAATAGCAAGGATGAACACTAGAAAAATTTACAGTTTCTTAAAACACTTTTTCCCTTAGTTTTACAGTTTCTGAGGGCATAGTAATAAGTAAGGTATCTATACCTTGAATATGAACATATTAATAAAAACAAAAGGCATAAGTAGACTTATCATATCCAAACAAAGTTTCATATATAATGTTTTCCCATTAATTTGAACTTAAAAATATCTGAAATGCTTGGGAAAAGGAGAACTAAATGATAAAGGAATATTCATTTGTTGTGTCCCCAAAAGCTATATACTGCGTTTCCTTTATAAAGTATGCAAACGTATCATTTTTCTTACAAAGTTAAATAACAAACTGTTAGAATCGTGATGCATCTTTTTATAGTGGTGCTAAAGGTGTTTTAAAGTGACTTAGTGACTAGTGAGGAAGGTAGATTACATCTATATAATATGCTCAGCTGTTTGAACTTGTGATGAGGTCCCTTTAATCTCAATAGTAATTAAATTTAGCAAATCTGACATTTGCAAGTTCACCCCAATTTGTAATATTCTCAAGTTCACTCTTATTTGTACTATTCGATCAAAAATTTAGCAAATCTCACATTAAAATGGGACCAATCTTACGACAGGTTTCAAAATACTTAGAAAAATAGAACTGGACCTCAATTCTAATACTCCGTTTAAAATTAAACCACAACATCATTATAACCAAACCTGTTGAAAGGTCACATGCTATCTAAGCCAAGTGATTAGTAGGAATTAACGAACTCCAATTTACTACTATCATATTACAAGCCAAAGGTTGATTAGTAGGAATCAACGAACTCCAATTTGTAAAAGAGAATACCTGGAAGACAACTTCAGAGCGAGTATGAGAGGCGTGCAGATAGTGTGAGAACAGCGAGATGCAGTGTGCAGATATCAGTCGATTTGTGAGACAACTCCAATTTACAGGTGAAGGTGATTTCGGTCGATCTGTGAGAGAACAGTGAGATGCAGATTGAGAAGCGTTCAGATAGTCCAATAAGAAGCCATCTATTTCCATTTGAGGAGCGATCTGATTGAGCAATCCATCGTAAACCTAGAGGTCTGGTGAGATTTATGAGAAGAGAATCATTTTCCTTTTTAATTTTTTGAACTTGCTACTCGTTTGTTCTGGTATAAGCAAGAGGCCGTTAACGAAAAAATAAGAGCGAGCTAAACAATTATTCGCGCCGAAAAATGAAAAGGACAGGCACGTTTTTGTTATAAAAAGTTTTAACTGGGTTAAACAGCAACACTTCTTAGGTGTGGAAAACCCATTAAAAAAAAGCGTTGCCCACCGGTCTTTGGATACGGTATTTTAGTGACGCGTTTTAAAAGAACAAAAAATTATCTACTTTGGCAACACTTTAAAAACGTGTGGTCTATATTAGCCTATAGCAACAGTTTTATGGGTTTGAAAAAAATTGGCGTTGACGTAGCCCTAAAATGTTGTAGTGTCAGTACAACAATATACCTATATTCAAATTTTGAAATATATATATATATATATATATATATATATATATAGAGAGAGAGAGAGAGAGAGCTCTTCTCATCAGGCCGGCCTGACGGGCTGCCCCGTCCGGCCGAGCCCGTTTGGGCACCTTCCCGGTGGAATTTTTTGATGAAATTTTTTGAGCATGTTCCTCATCAAGTCTAGTTTGTCCATACCAAATTTCAGCTCAAAATTCGATCGGAAAGGTCGTCAAATGATTTTTGCAAGTTAACTGGTCCGGAAAATACATATTCCGGACCAGTTAACTTGCAAAAATCATTTGACGACCTTCCCGATCGAATTTTGAGCTGAAATTTGGTATGGACAAACTAGACTTGATGCGGAACATGCTCAAAAAATTTCATCAAAAAATTCCACCGGGAAGGTGCCCAAACGGGCTCGGCCGGACGGGGCAGCCCGTCAGGCCGGCCTGATGAGATGATTTCTCTCTCTCTCTCTCTCTCTCTCTCTCTCTCTCTCTCTATATATATATATATATATATATATATATATCTATATATATAGGGTTGGGTGGGGTTGAGTGGGACTGCTGCCCCCCTGCCCCCACCCTAGATACGCCACTGCGCATATATATGGATAAAATCCCAAAATAGGAGTAAATATGTTTGAAAATTCCAAAATAAAACTGTCATGTTTTTATTCACAAAATAGGAGTAATTATTGTCAAGTTTGAGAAATATTGTCATCTTTAAAGCCTGTTACTGTCAAAACATGATAGCAATTTGTCCTACTTTGGAAATAAAACATGACAATCCTATTTTTTAATTTTTCAAACATTTTTAGTTCTATTTAGGGTAATTTCCCTATTATAGTTTTTATTTATATGTAAAAATAATTTCTATTGATGTTGAAATTCAAAGCATTTAATAAAGTGTTTAAACTACAAGTGATAGATTCTTTTTTTAAATAAATTTTTGCTGAAGTTTTACACTTTTGGACGAAATTACTATATTTGCTTTCTCTTTTATTGGCAGTTCACTGGGTAGGTGTCATATGGTGGCTTAAATACAAATACACAAAATGAAAGTGAGATGTTTTGAATCTATTTCTTATTTTTTATTAGAATCAACTCTTACTTAGAAATTAGGCTAACAAATTAATCACTCAACACTTGGAATATGTTTTCATTTTAGTCTCAAAGTAATTTTTGTTTTTATCTTAAGATGTCAAAGGGAAATTTTGAAATTCACTTATACTGATGTTACTCCGTAGTACGTAGTATTTATTACTTACCCCACAAAAGAATACTCCTATATTCAAATATAGAGATACTGAAGAAGCGGTTCAACATTTGAGCTCCTAAAGTGTTACTGAAAAACACTTTATTAAAACATTTTTCATTACTTAAAAAAAAAACATTTTTCATTAGCATTGCAATCAATGACTAAGAATGTATAAAACTGAAAATATTACCTCCTAATGTTCATATCTATTGTTTTAAATGGCAGCGTCAAACTATTGAGCTCTTCAGCAACACTCAGTTGCGTGTGTACTTCTTGAATTTAGCGATTTAGTGATTTATCGCTAAAGATATTAGATACTACGTATGACGTACATATGTGCAGGTAAATGGGGTTTACCCGTAAAACGACATAAAGTTACTTTTAGACACCTATAGGTTACTTTTAGTGTATAAAAGTTTTCTAGTAACTATCATTTCTTCTTTGTTTGAAGAGAAGTACCTAATAGGAAGATATGATTTTAACTAAAAACAGTGTTAGGTGATAACAAAGCAATTGATATTAAAAGAGTGCTTCATGAGAACAGAATATATGAAACAACAAAAGTAATTCTTCAGCTATAAATGAATTAATCTTATTTTACCTTTATGAGTGATTGCTAAACACTTTCATATGTATTTCGCTTATGTATGCACCATATTATATAAGACTGTAGAGAGATAGAGTTGAACGTGCTTCCCTAAATTGTTGTGATGAAATGAATTTTGTAGAACAATCAATACAATCTGATTTCTAGTAAAAAAAATGTTATTTACTTCAAACAATGTAATTCATAGAGCATTGAGAGACAAACTTAAAGGGAATTAATCCTCTCATAGATCATGATATAAATCCATGAATATGTAAAATGTGTTCCTATTAAATGCATTTTTGTCTCCTTGAGTACAAAGGGTTCCTATTACATATTCATTGAGAGAATCAATTTTTCTCTTGATTAAATCCATGAATATATAAAATGTGTTCCTCTCAAAAGGGTTCCTATAATATAGATTATTTTTGTTTGTAAAAATTATATGGTGCTCTTTAGCCTAGGGCCTCGAACTATCTATGGCCGCCCCTGATCCGATCCTCATAGTTCTGTGTCCGGTGATCCTCTACCGAAGGCCTCGTTATATATATCCTAGGGAAAGATTTCTGTCCACCGGAAACACTTTCTGATGACAGCGACTACGCGTCTCGAGCCATTGTCTTTTTGTTTTTTCATTTTGCAGGTACCTTTTTGAACTCACTGTAATGAGGGTACGGAACTACGACAATAGCTAGACCAGCTGAAAATGACAAGGATGGAATCAGCTTCCGGATAAGAGCACAAGAGGGCGACAATGAGGCTAGACTTGTCGTTGGAAGTTACCGGGAGAGGAAGAAAGAAGAAGCACTTTGTTGGAAGCCGTCGGCCATTGTGGGTGACGAGAATAATTTTCCCAACACTACTAACAGTCTAACACCATCATATGTAGTCGCTCATACTATACCTCATCAATAGTGAAACTTTGCACTAGCATAGTGAATTATGGAGATGAGGTATCCCACAAGAATCTACCTTTAATTGATGACTACAAACTAATGTACTCTGTATTAGTTAAGTAAGCTCGGGACATGATAAATCATTATTGAGTGACTCGTTGAAAAGTTTATCGAAAATGACAAACCAACATATAGCATTTACATCTCAGTTCTTGCAATAGACTTGTTTACATTATCATCCATAACCCAAAATTTCTCTTGTTTCTTCTTGTATACTTGACTCTGAATATCATGTCTCCTATGTGACACCCCCATCTTGGAATCCAAACCATCTAAAACTTTTCTTGTGTTACAAATGTGAAAAAGAGTGTACACAAACCTAATTAATTAAGCATAATCAATTGTTTTAAGGATGCATATAATATAAACGTATCATATCAATTTATTTCTCTTTTCTCACACGCCATCACTAGAACCTCGGCAAGCTAATTAGCCATCGTGCGTTGATGTAGCCCTTCAAAGAACAAAGCCAACTTTCAAGGAGTACCTTTGGTAGCGGTTGTTTTGTGATTTCTGAGGATAAATGTTCTGTTGAGGTACATAGGTGTTCTTCACTTTTTCTCATATGAAGCTGATTGTAACTGATGACTTCAACATTATTCACAACAAAGATTTGAATGGTGTTCAACTTTCAACCATTAACTAATTTAATGGTGTTTTGATTAACCAATAGCTAGTCTTATACTCCCTCAGAAGGTGGTGCCTGATGAGGTCAAGAGCAGAGGTCTCATCAGCGGAGGTACAGCATATCAAAATGACATTCTTAAGTGTTGTTTGCATCTCAGTTTCGCGACGTCTGTGATCTTCTTATTGCTATAGGGATCACTGTTTTGTCAAAAATCCGATCAAATCAGGCTTCAAGAACCATTTTTCTTACACTTTCTGAATATATCTTGATTTGTTTTTGTGTTGTTTGTCTCCTTTTCTTATTCATCCATTACGTTTGTTTCTTGTTTTTCCATTTTGACTTTTTTCTATGTGAAAATATAGTTCTATGTGATAGAAGAGACTAGACGTACGCCATTTGGCAACACTGTTTTCGGCTTATCAAACTTATCAGTCAACTTTTTCACCAAACACGTAACTTTTGCTTTCGCGCGCTGGATTATGTGATAAGCAGAAAAAGTAAGATTGGAGTTACTTTTCATCTGGCTGTATTGGCTAAAGTTACTATAGATGGCCATTTTAACTGTTTTTACATATAATTTTTTCTTTAATTTATTACTAAAATATGTTTTAAAAATAAATTTTGTTAAATCAGCAGAATCCGCCAATACAGCCACTTCAGCCTACACTTCATAAATTTCAGCAGGATCAACCAAAACAGACGATTTTGGTGTTACCAAACGGGCTCTAAATTTTAAAATTTCCAGATTAGTTAAATCTAAAAGAGAAACATAACACCAACCATAACGACGATTAGTCACATTAAGTTATGGTGAAAACTGATGAAGCTATAAAGCATTTTTTAAGACCGTTAAAAGCTATGAAGCTATTATGTATTTTTAAAAGCTACTCAAATTAAGGTAGTTTTATGGGTAATTCTTAGTGCACCTTTCTGTGCATTTTGGGTATACTTTGTCGAAAACATCCAAATTTTTGCATTTTAAGACCAATTTTGTGTCCACAAGGACAGATTTGCTGATTAAGGAGGGTGTACATAATGTATAATCTTATCTTATCTTATATAATCACTCTACATAATTGCACTAAAAGCATTTTCCCGCTCAACCATAAAAGCATCTTAGCCGCACGATATAAAGAACATCTACAACTTAAGCTTCAGCTTTCACTTGGCTCACCACCTTCGCTCATCATCTTCCCTCATCGATTGAAAGGATTCTCACTTCATTCCAAATCCACCGCATTTCTTAATAGCTTTGAAATGTCAAGGTACATCTCTTTCTC